CCCCCAATCCCACAAAACTATTTATTTATTTAGAGAGAGGGTCTCACTCTGTCACCTAGGCCAGACTGCAGCAGTATGATCATAGCTCATTGCAGCCTTGACCTCCTAGGCTCAAGCAATCCTCCTGCCTCAGCCTGCAGAGTAGTTGGGACTACAGGTGCATGCCACCATGCTCAAATAATTTCAAAATTTTTTGTAGAGATGGGGTCCCATTATGTTGTACAGGCTGTTCTCAAACTTCTGGGTTCAAGAGATTCTCCCATCTCAGCATCCTAAATTGCTGGGATTATAGGCATAAGCCACTGCACCCAACTGACAATTCCTTTAGGTAGGTAGGTAGAGGATAGGGATGGATGGATGGATGAATAGATGGATGGATGGATAGATGGATGGTTGGTTGGATTGGTGAGTGGGTGGGTGGGTGGATGGATGGATGGATGGATGGATGGATGGATAGGTGGGTGGGTGGATGGTTGGCTGGCTGGCTGGATGGATGGACGGTTGGTTGGATGGGTGGGGGGGGGGTTTGATGGAGGATGATGGATGGAAGGAGGAAGGATAAGTGGTGGTGGATGGTTTGGCCTGGGATGGCTTGGAATGGATGGACGTTGTTGGATGATGGTGGGTGGAGGATGGATGGGATGGATGGATGGATGATGGATGATGGATAGGTGGGTGGTGGATGGTTGGGCTGGGCCTGGCGGATTGATGGGACGGTTGGTTGGATGGTGGGGTTGGATGGGGATGGATGGATGGATGGATGGGATAAGATGGAATGGATATGTGGGTGGTGATGGTTGGCCTGGCTGGGCCTGGATGGATGACGGGTTGGTTGGAGGTGGGTGGTGGTGGGTAGATGGATGGATGATGGATTGGATGGATGGATGGATGGATGGATGGATAGATGATGGATGATAGGGGGTGGTTGTGGGATGGTTGGCTGGCTGGCTGGTGGATGGACGGTTGGTTGATGGGTGGGTGGGTGGGGGGTGGATGGATGGATGGATGGAATGGAATGGATGGATGGAATAGGTGGGTGGTGATGGGATTGGCTGGCCCGGAATGGATGGAACGGTTTGGTTGGAATGGGTGGGGGGATGGGATGGATGGATGATGGATGAATGGATGGAAGGATGGATAGATGGATGATAGGTGGGGTGGGTGAGGTTGGCTGGCTTGCTGGGTGGGAAATGGACGGTTGGTTGGAATTGGGTGGGTGGGTCGGTGGAATGATGGATTGGATGAATGAATGATGTGATGGATGGATGGATAGATGTGGATGATGGATAGGTGGTGGGTGGATGGTTGGGCTGGTGGCTGGGTGGATGGATGGATGGGTGGGTGGATGGATAGACAGATATAGATCTAGCTATCTATCCATTTATCTGTCCATATATCCTATCAGTTCTGTTTCTCCACAGAACTCTAATATAGTCAGATTAGTGGCCAGAAGACACAAGGACAAATGTCCCAGACAAAGCCCAAGAGCGTGGTGGGCTGTGCTATGGAGGATCAAGCAGACCAGTGAAGCCACCTGGCACAAGGCACAAGAGAAGACATCAGGAAATGAAGCAGAACTGCAGGTTGCAGTCATGGTGCAAGGCAGCTCAGCACCCAGCTGGAAGCCTTTGGAAGATGGAGAGGCAGAGAGTGAGCTCAGGGCTGTCCTTGAGGAAGAGGCATGCACAAAGCCAGTCATGCACACTCCCCAGCTATATCTGCTGCCAAAGTGAAACCAGGACGGCTGTAGAAATTTGCTTCAAATGAAGAAACCTGTTCCTCGACGGGGACAAATGATGTCACGCACAAGTACAGAAGCAGACCACATTCCTGCCACACCATGGCTCAAAGTCACAAGGCAGAAACACCTGAGAAGGGGGGAAGGCCTGAAGGAGGAGCTGAGTCTGCCCAGGTTCTCCTTTGGAATCTGGGTGTGGCCGCCTTACATGGGGATCTGGAATGTGCCGTGCTGCAAAGTGAATTCCTGGTGCATTTTTGAGGCTCAGGTGATCCCGAAGTTATGGCTGTCGTGAGAGAGCAGCACCCTGCTGACAAAAGGTTCTGGAAGGTGGGCAGTGCAAGCTGGCTTCATCCACAAGCCCTGCTCACAGCCTGGTGCTCAGTGGATATTGTCCCCACCGGAAGTTCTAGGAGCTGCCCTTGGTCAGTGAGCCTGGCTCAAACACGGCAGCTAAATGGCATCACTTGCCAGGTCACATGGGCAAATGGCCAGCGCCTCGTTCCTGGAGACAAGGTGGAGTCATTCAGTTCTTTTGCTGTTATTGCTAGAGACGGAGTTTCACTCTTGCCGCCCAGGCTGGAGTGCAATGGTATAATCTCAGCTCACTGTAACCTCTGCCTCCCAGGTTCAAGCAATTTGATGGAAATTGGTTTGTTCACCTTTGGCTACTGTACATATTACTGCTATGAACATGCATGTATAGATATCTGTTTTTAAGTCTCTGCTCTTTTTTGGCTTGGTGAGGTGGCCTCACGCCTATAATCCCAGCACTTTGGTAGGCTGAGGTGGAAGGATCACTTACCCTAGGAGTTTGAGATCAAGCCCTGGGTAAACACAAAAAGACCTCATCAGAGAGAGAAGAGGAAGAAAGTAAAAAAAAAAAAAAAAAAAAAGAAAGAGAAAGAAAGAGGAAGAAAGAAGAGAGAGAGAAGAAAAGAAAGAAAGAAAGAAAGAAAGAAGAAAGAAGAAAGAAAGAAGAAAGAAGAAAGAAAGAGAAAGAAGAGGAAGGAGGAGAAGAGAGAGAGAAAAGGAAAAGAGAAAAGAAGAAAGAAAGAAGAAAGAAGGAAAGAGAAAGAAAAGAGAGAAAAGAAAGAAGAAAGAAAAGAAGAAAGAAAGAAAGAAAGAAAGAAGAAAGAAAAAAGAAAGAAAAAAGAAAGAAAGAAGAAAGAAAGAAAAAGAAAAGAAAAAAACCCACTTCAAGATGAAGCAGGTTGGAACAAAAAACAGATTTATGCAGCTCATTATTAAACCAGCACCTAGTTTGAA